CTCATCACACAGAGACCCACAGACTCACCACACAGAGACCCACAGACTCACCACACAGAGACCCACAGGCTCACCACACAGAGACCCAGACTCATCACACAGAGACCCATAGACTCACCACACAGAGACCCACAGACTCACCACACAGAAACCCACAGACTCATCACACAGAGACCCACAGACTCACCACACAGAGACCCACAGGCTCACCACACAGAGACCCACAGGCTCATCACAGAGACCCATAGACTCACCACACAGAGACCCACAGACTCACTACACAGAGACCCACAGACTCACCACACAGAGACGCATAGACTCACCACACAGAGACACATAGACTCATCAGACAGAGACCTATAGACTCATCACACAGAGACCCATAGACTCATCACACAGATCCACAGACTCGTCACACAGAGACCCACAGACTCATCACACAAAGACCCATAGACTCATCAGACAGAGACCCACAGACTCACCACACAGAGACCCACAGATTCATTACACAGAGACCCACAGACTCATCACAGAGACCCACAGACCCACAGACTCATCACAGAGACCCACAGACTCACCACACAGAGACCCATAGACTCATCACAGAGACCCATAGACTCATCACACAGAGACCCATAGACTCACCACACAGAGACCCGGAGACTCACCACACAGAGACCCACAGACTCACCACACAGAGACCCACAGACTCATCACAGAGACCCACAGACCCACAGACTCATCACAGAGACCCACAGACTCACCACACAGAGACCCATAGACTCATCACAGAGACCCATAGACTCATCACACAGAGACCCATAGACTCATCACAAAGAGACCCACAGACTCACCACACAGAGACCCACAGGCTCACCACACAGAGACCCACAGACTCACCACACCACACAGAGACCCACAGTGTCATCACACAGAGACCCACAGACCCATCACACAGAGACCCACAGACTCATCACACAGAGACCCACAGGCTCGTCACACAGAGACCCACATACTCATCACACAAAGATCCACAGACTCACCACACAGAGACCCACAGACTCACCACACAGAGACCCACAGACTCACCACACAGAGACCCACAAACTCATCACACAGAGACCCATAGACTCATCACACAGAGACCCACAGACCCACACACAGAGACCCACAGACTCATCACACAGAGACCCACAGACTCATCACACAGAGACCCATAGACTCATCACACAGAGACCCAAAGACTCATCACACAGAGACCCATAGACTCATCAGACAGAGACCCACAGACTCATCACACAGAGACCCATAGACTCATCACACAGAGACCCACAGACTCACCACACAGAGACCCGCAGACTCACCACACAGAGACCCACAGACTCATCACACAGAGACCCACAGACTCACACACAGAGACCCACAGACTCATCACACAGATACCCGTAGACTCACCACACAGAGACCCACAGACTCATCACACAGAGACCCACAGACTCACCACACAGAGACCCACAGACTCACCACACAGAGACCCACAGGCTCACCACACAGAGACCCAGACTCATCACACAGAGACCCATAGACTCACCACACAGAGACCCACAGACTCACCACACAGAAACCCACAGACTCATCACACAGAGACCCACAGACTCACCACACAGAGACCCACAGGCTCACCACACAGAGACCCACAGGCTCATCACAGAGACCCATAGACTCACCACACAGAGACCCACAGACTCACTACACAGAGACCCACAGACTCACCACACAGAGACGCATAGACTCACCACACAGAGACACATAGACTCATCAGACAGAGACCTATAGACTCATCACACAGAGACCCATAGACTCATCACACAGATCCACAGACTCGTCACACAGAGACCTACAGACTCATCACACAAAGACCCATAGACTCATCAGACAGAGACCCACAGACTCACCACACAGAGACCCACAGATTCATTACACAGAGACCCACAGACTCATCACAGAGACCCACAGACCCACAGACTCATCACAGAGACCCACAGACTCACCACACAGAGACCCATAGACTCATCACAGAGACCCATAGACTCATCACACAGAGACCCATAGACTCACCACACAGAGACCCGGAGACTCACCACACAGAGACCCACAGACTCACCACACAGAGACCCAAAGACTCATCACACAGAGACCCACAGACTCACCACACAGAGACCCAAAGACTCATCACACAGAGACCCACAGACTCACCACACAGAGACCCATAGACTCATCACAGAGACCCACAGACTCACCACACAGAGACCCACAGACTCACCACACAGAGACCCACAGACTCACCACACAGAGACCCACAGACTCACCACACAGAGACCCATAGACTCACCAAACAGAGACCCACAGACTCACCACACAGAGACCCACGGACTCATCACACAGAGACCCACAGACTCATCACACAGAGACCCACAGACTCACACACAGAGACCCACAGACTCACCACACAGAGACCCACAGGCTCACCACACAGAGACCCACAGACTCACCACACCACACAGAGACCCACAGGCTCATCACACAGAGACCCACAGACCCATCACACAGAGACCCACAGACTCATCACACAGAGACCCACAGGCTCGTCACACAGAGACCACATACTCATCACACAAAGATCCACAGACTCACCACACAGAAACCCACAGACTCACCACACAGAGACCCACAGACTCATCACACAGAGACCCACAGGCTCACCACACAGAGACCCAGACTCATCACACAGAGACCCATAGACTCACCACACAGAGACCCAGACTCATCACACAGAGACCCATAGACTCACCACACAGAGACCCACAGACTCACCACACAGAGACCCACAGACTCACCACACAGAGACCCACAGACTCACCACACAGAGACCCACAGACTCATCAGACAGAGACCCACAGGCTCATCACACAGAGACCCACAGACTCACCACACAGAGACCCACAGACTCACCACACAGAGACCCACAGACTCATCACACAGAGACCCATAGACTCATCACACAGAGACCCACAGACTCACACACAGAGACCCACAGACTCATCACACAGAGACCCACAGACTCATCACACAGAGACCCATAGACTCATCACACAGAGACCCACAGACTCATCACACAGAGACCCATAGACTCATCACACAGAGACCCACAGACTCATCACACAGAGACCCATAGACTCATCACACAGAGACCCACAGACTCACACACAGAGACCCACAGACTCACCACACAGAGACCCACAGACTCACCACACAGAAACCCATAGACTCACCAAACAGAGACCCACAGACTCACCACACAGAGACCCACAGACTCATCACACAGAGACCCACAGACTCATCACAGAGACCCACAGACCCACAGACTCATCACAGAGACCCACAGACTCACCACACAGAGACCCATAGACTCATCACAGAGACCCATAGACTCATCACACAGAGACCCCTAGACTCATCACAAAGAGACCCACAGACTCACCACACAGAGACCCACAGACTCACACACAGAGACCCACAGACTCACCACACAGAGACCCACAGGCTCACCACACAGAGACCCACAGACTCACCACACCACACAGAGACCCACAGGCTCATCACACAGAGACCCACAGACCCATCACACAGAGACCCACAGACTCATCACACAGAGACCCACAGGCTCGTCACACAGAGACCCACATACTCATCACACAAAGATCCACAGACTCACCACACAGAAACCCACAGACTCACCACACAGAGACCCACAGACTCATCACACAGAGACCCACAGGCTCACCACACAGAGACCCAGACTCATCACACAGAGACCCATAGACTCACCACACAGAGACCCAGACTCATCACACAGAGACCCAGACTCATCACACAGAGACCCATAGACTCACCACACAGAGACCCATAGACTCACCACACAGAGACCCACAGACTCACCACACAGAGACCCACAGACTCATCAGACAGAGACCCACAGACTCACCACACAGAGACCCACAGGCTCATCACACAGAGACCCACAGACTCACCACACAGAGACCCACAGACTCACCACACAGAGACCCACAGACTCATCACACAGAGACCCATAGACTCATCACACAGAGACCCACAGACTCACACACAGAGACCCACAGACTCATCACACAGAGACCCACAGACTCATCACACAGAGACCCATAGACTCATCACACAGAGACCCACAGACTCATCACACAGAGACCCATAGACTCATCACACAGAGACCCACAGACTCATCACACAGAGACCCCTAGACTCATCACACAGAGACCCACAGACTCACACACAGAGACCCACAGACTCATCACACAGAGACCCACAGACTCACACACAGAGACCCACAGGCTCACCACACAGAGACCCAGACTCATCACACAGAGACCCATAGACTCACCACACAGAGACCCACAGACTCACCACACAGAAACCCACAGACTCATCACACAGAGACCCACAGACTCACCACACAGAGACCCACAGACTCACCACACAGAGACCCACAGGCTCACCACACAGAGACCCACAGACTCATCACACAGAGACCCATAGACTCACCACACAGAGACCCACAGGCTCACCACACAGAGACCCACAGACTCATCACACAGAGACCCACAGAATCACCACACAGAGACCCACAGGCTCACCACACAGAGACCCACAGACTCACCACACAGAGACACACAGACTCATCACACAGAGACCCACAGACTCGTCACACAGAGACCCATAGACTCATCAGACAGAGACCCACAGACTCACCACACAGAGACCCACAGATTCATTACACAGAGACCCACAGACTCATCACAGAGACCCACAGACCCACAGACTCATCACAGAGACCCACAGACTCACCACACAGAGACCCACAGACTCACCACACAGAGACCCACAGACTCACCACACAGAGACACCCACAGGCTCACCACACAGAGACACCCACAGGCTCACCACACAGCGACCCACAGACTCATCACACCCAGAAACGTCAGAGAGCTTACGAGTGTGACGAGCAGAGTGAAGGCCCAGGCATAGAGGAAGAAGAGCGGCCCGCCCCGCTGGATGATGTGCAGCAGCAGCGAGGAGATGGGCAGCATGATCATCTGCATCACCGCCAGCTTCTTCAGCTGATCCTTCAGGAAGAACGCCAAAGTCTGCGTGGTGTCCGTGCGTCCGTGTGGAGAGAGGCACACGGAGGGACAAGTACAGCGGGGAGGGGGAGCAGAGGGAGGCAGGGACAGGGAGGGAGGGATGGAAAATGTGTCAATGTGTTCTATTTTTGGTTTTTTTTTTAAATGGTCGTCGAAGCCACAAATTTTTAGAACAAAACAAAGCCGAGATGACGAACGAAGCCAAGGGGCAAATAGGCGAGCACGATTTTGCTTCTTCTGATTTGAACAAAAATAAGGAGGGAGGGACAAGGAGGGAGAGAGAGAGAACAGAGACCATAGACTCGCTGCACAAGAGAAGCAGGTTGTGGTGGTGGTGGTGATGGTGGTGATGGTGGTGGTGATGGTGGTGATGGTGGAGGTGGTGGTGATGATGGTGGTGGTGGTGGTGATGGTGGAGGTGGTGGTGGAGGTGGTGATGGTGGAGGTGGTGATGATGGTGGTGGTGATGGTGGTAGTGGTGGTGGTGGTGATGGTGGTGATGATGATGATGGTGGTGATGGTGGAGGTGGTGATGGTGGTGATGATGGTGGTGATGGTGGAGGTGGTGGTGACGATGGTGGTGATGGTGGAGGTGGTGATGGTGGTGATGATGGTGGTGTTGATGATGATGATGGTGGTGGTGATGGTGGTGATGATGGTGGTGATGATGATGGTGGTGATGGTGGAGGTGGTGATGGTGGTGATGATGGTGGTGATGGTGGAGGTGGTGGTGACGATGGTGGTGATGGTGGAGGTGGTGATGGTGGTGATGATGGTGGTGTTGATGATGATGATGGTGGTGGTGATGGTGGTGATGATGGTGGTGATGATGATGGTGGTGATGGTGGAGGTGGTGATGGTGGTGGTGATGATGGTGATGATGATGATGATGGTGGTGATAGTGGAAGTGGTGATGGTGGTGATGATGGTGGTGTTGATGATGATGGTGATGATGGTGGTGATGATGATGATGGTGGTGATGGTGGTGATGAAGGTGGTGATGATGGTGGTGGTGATGATGATGGTGGTGATGATGGTGGTGGTGATGATGATGATGGTGGTGATGGTGGTGATGATGATGGTGGTGATGGTGGTGATGATGGTGGTGTTGATGATGGTGTTGATGATGGTGGTGATGATGGTGGTGATGATGATGGTGATGATGATGGTGATGATGATGGTGATGATGCTGATGGCGATGATGTTGATGGTGGTGGTGGTGATGATGATGGTGATGATGATGATGCTGGTGATGATGCTGATGGCGATGATGATGATGGTGGTGGAGCTAGACAACGGTACGAATAGGCAGATGGCGCATCTAACGGGAGCGATCGATCAATCAATCAATCGATCGATCGATCAATCGATCGATCGATCAATCGATCGCAAGACAGTGAGAGCCCCATCCCACCTGCTTGTTGAAGCCGTGACGCTCCTCCACCACAAAGGTGCCGTACAGGGACCAGGGCAGTGACGTGGCGGCGGAGAAGAGCGACGCAAGCAGCAGGAAGAGACACGACCGTGACACCTGCGGTGGCACAAAGACAAAGGTCCCCCGTGTAGCCTGTGACAGACTGTAGGGGCAAGTGCTGTTAGTAGCGTGTAGCAGCAGCGCCTGTGAACACACCAAAGACAAAGGTCCCCCGTGTAGCCTCTATCAGGGCTGTAGGGGCAAGTGCTGTTAGTAGCGAGTAGCAGCAGCGCCTGTGAACACACAAAGACAAAGGTCCCCCGTGTAGCCTGAGACAGACTGTAGGGGCAAGTGCTGTTAGTAGCGTGTAGCAGCAGCGCCTGTGAACACACAAAGACAAAGGTCCCCCGTGTAGCCTGTCCCAGACTGTAGGGGCAAGTGCTGTGAGCGAGTAGCAGCAGCGCCTGTGAACACACAAAGACAAAGGTCCCCCGTGTAGCCTGAGACAGACTGTCGGGGCAAGTGCTGTTAGCGAGTAGCAGCAGCGCCTGTGAACACACAAAGACTGCGGCAACCTGGGTCAGTCTCGTGACCTCCTACCGGCGGGCGTTCCGACACTTCACGTGGCCTGAAAGTGCACCTAGCCTGGCACAGAGCGCTGTGGTGTCGTCACCGCCACGTAGCGGCACCACGGTGGCTATGAGATGTTGACTACCTCGCCTGGTGTGCAGGAGGTCGTGGGTTCGATCCCGACCCTGACGATGCCTGCTGCTGTAGATTTGGAGTCTGCGTCTCTCTCTCATGATCATCACGGTGGCTATGAGATGTTAACTGCCTCGCCTGGTGCGCAGGAGGTCGTGGGTTCCATCCCGACCCTGACGATGCCTGTTGCTGCTGCTGTAGATTTGGAGTCTGCGTCTCTCTCATCATCATCATCATCACGGTGGCTATGAGATGTTGACTACCTCGCCTGGTGTGCAGGAGGTCGTGGGTTCCATCCCGACCCTGACGATGCCTGCTGCTGCTGCTGTGTATTTGGAGTCTGCGTCTCTCTCTCTCTCTCCTGTGGTTGCGTGGATTTTCCTCCGGGTCCTGAGGTTTTTTTCCCTCCACGTTCAGAATCAAGCGTCGTCGCTGCGCATTCAGAGTATTTGTCTGCTGCTGTGAATCGCCACGTGGTGACGATGATGACGACGACGATGATGAGCCCACTTCGTTGAGCTGCTATAATTTGTGATGGCAAAAAGTCGCTTCTAACATAGAGCTCAAGTGCGGGCTTTGCCTGGCAAAATAAAAATGGCAGCAGTTAAATATTTTAGCGGCGAACAGCTGCGGTGATGGTTGTTGTTGTTGTTGATTTGGTGCTTTCGTGACTGTAGGAATTACTGTTTGTTTTTTTCCATTGTCCCATGTGTGTGTCTCTCTGTGTGTGTCTCTGTGGGGAGCGATAGTGTAGCGGTTAGCGCGCTGCGCTATGAACCTGGCGACCCGGGTTCGATTCCCGCTCACGGCCAACACCAGTGACGATTATCTGAACTGGTCCCGGGCCTCCCCTAGGTCGACTCAGCCTCAAATGAGTACCTGGTGCGGTGTGTAAACATTGCCACTAGGGAGACAAAGGCGGTCGGGCGTGGTGCTGGCCACCCACCCCCTCGTGTACCGTTCCGGCCTTCATAGGTGCTCGCTAACAGCACTTGCCCCTACAGTCTGTTAAGGCTATATGGGGGATCTTTTTTTATCTTTGTGTCTCTGTGCTAACTCTCTCTGCCTAGATGTCTATATATGTGTCTGCGATCTGTACTCCATCACTCTTAAGCTATAATTTAGCAATCTTTGAAAAAGCGTAATCAGCCAGATCCATTCGTTAATTGTGTTTTGACCGACCCTCTGTGTTGCGTTATATGGTTTCAAAATTTTACTAAATCTTGTTCCATTTGATGTGCTTCTCCATCTCTCTCTCTGTCTCCCGTACATGCTAGGGCCTCGGCACAGAGACCCTGTCTCTCTGTGCTCCATACGTTGTGTCTCTCTTTGTGTTTCTGTGTTAACTCCCTCCGCTTAGGTGTCTGTATATATATCCGCGGTTCTGTGTTTCCTCTCTCTCTCTTAAATTTAGCTCTTCTGTGCCTGACGATGATTGCTTGCGTTGCAATCGAAACGTCGTATGCTATTATGTAATTTTATTATTATTTCTTGTTTCTACGTGACTTTACCGAAAAAACCAAAGAGTTGTTGTTGTTATTATAATCTTAGTTTTTTCGGTAAAGTCACGTTGAAGGGAAACAAAATAATAAAATATATATAAAACAATAAAAATTCTCACGACGTTTCGACCGTAACACAAACGGTCGTCTTCAGGTGTGTTGGTTTGCATAAATTTATTTTTAAACGGTGCATCTATTTATTTATTTAAAAAAACGTCAGCGCCACGCGCAGCGATTTGGCAGTTTATTTAGACGGACTAGTCCATCTATATTCTGAAAAGGAGGGGGGAGACGAATTTTTATTTTTTTATTTTATAATGTATGCTGTCTGAAAGCCACTGTAAGCGTGAACAATCAATTAAGACCTGAAATGGTTTATCAAATCTTTCCAATGATTGTTGTTGTTGATGTTTCATTACCTCGTAGTCGGCCGAGTAGCCCAGCCTCTGTACGATGTGCCCGGTGACGCTCCACAGATAGGGGATTCCGCCCAGCAGGAGAATTAACTAACGCACATACAGACAAAGACACATACCCCGCCCCGGGATAGCCTTTGTAGGACGCTGGGACAAGTGCTGTCAGCGAGCAGTAGCAGCAGGACGTGTGAAGGGTGGCACGGCGCACGAGAGGGTGGGTGGTGTCTAGCATAGTCTAATAATCTAGAGCATAGTGGTGTATAGTGTAGTATAGTGGTGTATAGTAATGTCTATTGGTGTATAGTGTAGGAGTGAATAGCATAGTCTAGTGGTGTATAGTATAGTGGTGTATAGCATAGTGGTGTATAGTATAGTGGTGTATAGTCTAGTGGTGTATAGTATAGTGGTGTATAGTATAGTCTAGTGGTGTATAGTGTAGTCTAGTGGTGTATAATATAGTCTAGTGGTGTATAGTATAGTCTAGTGTAGTATAGTGTAGTATAGTGTAGTATAGTGGTGTATAGTATAGTCTAGTGGTGTATAGTGTAGGAGTGAATAGCATAGTCTAGTGGTGTATAGCCTAGTGGTGTATAGTATAGTAGTGTATAGTATAGTGGTGTATAGTATAGTCTAGTGGTGTATAGTCTAGTGGTGTATAGTATTGTCTAGTGGTGTATAGTATAGTCTAGTGGTGTATAGTATAGTCTAGTGGTGTATAGTATAGTCTAGTGGTGTATAGTATAGTATATTGGTGTATAGTATAGTCTAGTGGTGTATAGTATAGTCTAGTGGTGTATAGTATAGTCTAGTGATGTATAGTATAGTCTAGTGGTGTATAGTGTAGTATAGTGGTGTATAGTGTAGTATAGTGGTGTATAGTATAGTGGTGTATAGTATAGTCTAGTGGTGTATAGTATAGTGGTGTATAGTCTAGTGGTGTATAGTATAGTCTAGTGGTGTATAGTATAGTATAGTGGTGTATAGTATAGTATAGTGGTGTATAGTATAGTATAGTGGTGTATAGTAGTCTAGTGGTGTATAGTATAGTGGTGTATAGTATAGTGGTGTATAGTGGTGTATAGTATAGTATAGTGTTGTATAGTATAGTGGTGTATAGTATAGTGGTGAATAGTGTAGTATAATGGTGTATAGTCTAGTGGTGTATAGTATAGTATAGTGGTGTATAGTATAGTGGTGTAAAGTATAGTATAGTGGTATATAGTATAGTCTAGTGGTGTATAGTATAGTCTAGTGGTGTATAGTATAGTGGTGTATAGTATAGTATAGTGGTGTATAGTATAGTATAGTGGTGTATAGTATAGTCTAGTGGTGTATAGTATAGTGGTGTATAGTATAGTCTAGTGGTGTATGGTATAGTCTAGTGGTGTATAGTATAGTCTAGTGGTGTATAGTATAGTCTAGTGGTGTATAGTATAGTATAGTGGTGTATAGTATAGTCTAGTGGTGTATAGTATAGTCTAGTGGTGTATAGTATAGTCTAGTGGTGTATAGTATAGTCTAGTGGTGTATAGTATAGTCTAGTGGTGTATAGAATAGTCTAGTGGTGTATAGTATAGTATAGTGGTGTATAGTATTGTCTATTGGTGTATAGTATAGTCTAGTGGTGTATAGTATAGTCTAGTGGTGTATAGTATAGTCTAGTGGTGTATAGCATAGTATAGTGGTGTATAGCATAGTCTAGTGGTGTATAGTATAGTCTAGTGGTGTATAGTATAGTCTAGTGGTGTATAGTATAGTCTAGTGGTGTATAGTATAGTCTAGTGGTGTATAGTATAGTCTAGTGGTGTATAGTATAGTCTAGTGGTGTATAGTATAGTCTAGTGGTGTATGGTATTGTCTAGTGGTGTATGGTATAGTCTAGTGGTGTATAGTATAGTATAGTGGTGTATAGTATAGTCTAGTGGTGTATAGTATAGTATAGTGGTGTATAGTATAGTCTAGTGGTGTATAGTGTAGTATAGTGGTGTATAGTATAGTCTAGTGGTGTATAGTATAGTATAGTGGTGTATAGTATAGTATAGTGGTGTATAGTATAGTATAGTGGTGTATAGTATAGTATAGTGGTGTATAGTCTAGTGGTGTATAGTGTAGTCTAGTGGTGTATAGTGGAGTCTAGTGGTGTATAGTATAGTCTAGTGGTGTATAGTATAGTATAGTGATGTATAGTATAGTGGTGTATAGCATAGTCTAGTGGTGTATAGCATAGTCTAGTGGTGTATAGTATAGTCTAGTGGTGTATAGTATAGTCTAGTGGTGTATAGCATAGTCTAGTGGTGTATAGTATAGTCTAGTGGTGTATAGTATAGTCTAGTGGTGTATAGTATAGTCTAGTGGTGTATAGTATAGTATAGTGGTGTATAGTATAGTCTAGTGGTGTATAGTATAGTATAGTGGTGTATAGTATAGTCTAGTGGTGTATAGTATAGTCTAGTGGTGTATAGTATAGTATAGTGGTGTATAGTGTAGTCTAGTGGTGTATAGTATAGTATAGTGGTGTATAGTATAGTCTAGTGGTGTATAGTATAGTATAGTGGTGTATAGTATAGTATAGTGGTGTATAGTATAGTCTAGTGGTGTATAGTATAGTGGTGTATAGTATAGTCTAGTGGTGTATAGTATAGTATAGTGGTGTATAGCATAGTATAGTGGTGTATAGTATTGTCTAGTGGTGTATAGTATAGTCTAGTCGTGTATAGTATAGTCTAGTGGTGTATAGTATAGTATAGTGGTGTATAGTATAGTCTAGTGGTGTATAGTATAGTCTAGTGGTGTATAGTATAGTATAGTGGTGTATAGTATAGTCTAGTGGTGTATAGTGTAGTATAGTGGTGTATAGTATAGTCTAGTGGTGTATAGTATAGTATAGTGGTGTATAGTATAGTGGTGTATAGTATAGTATAGTGGTGTATAGTCTAGTGGTGTATAGTGTAGTCTAGTGGTGTATAGTGGAGTCTAGTGGTGTATAGTATAGTCTAGTGGTGTATAGTATAGTATAGTGATGTATAGTATAGTGGTGTATAGCATAGTCTAGTGGTGTATAGTATAGTCTAGTGGTGTATAGTATAGTCTAGTGGTGTATAGTATAGTCTAGTGGTGTATAGTATAGTATAGTGGTGTATAGTATAGTCTAGTGTTGTATAGTATAGTGGTGTATAGTATAGTCTAGTGGTGTATAGTATAGTCTAGTGGTGTATAGTATAGTCTAGTGGTGTATAGCATAGTCTAGTGGTGTATAGTATAGTCTAGTGGTGTATAGTATAGTCTAGTGGTGTATAGCATAGTCTAGTGGTGTATAGTATAGTCTAGTGGTGTATAGTATAGTCTAGTGGTGTATAGTATAGTCTAGTGGTGTATAGTATAGTCTAGTGGTGTATAGTATAGTCTAGTGGTGTATAGTATAGTCTAGTGGTGTATAGTATAGTCTAGTGGTGTATAGTATAGTATAGTGGTGTATAGTATAGTCTAGTGGTGTATAGTATAGTCTAGTGGTGTATAGTATAGTCTAGTGGTGTATAGTATAGTCTAGTGGTGTATAGCATAGTCTAGTGGTGTATAGTATAGTCTAGTGGTGTATAGTATAGTCTAGTGGTGTATAGTATAGTCTAGTGGTGTATAGTATAGTGGTGTATAGTATAGTCTAGTGGTGTATAGTATAGTATAGTGGTGTATAGTATAGTCTAGTGGTGTATAGTATAGTCTAGTGGTGTATAGTATAGTATAGTGGTGTATAGTATAGTCTAGTGGTGTATAGTATAGTATAGTGGTGTATAGTATAGTATAGTCTAGTGGTGTATAGTATAGTATAGTGGTGTATAGTATAGTATAGTGGTGTATAGTATAGTCTAGTGGTGTATAGTATAGTGGTGTATAGTATAGTCTAGTGGTGTATAGTATAGTATAGTGGTGTATAGCATAGTATAGTGGTGTATAGTATTGTCTAGTGGTGTATAGTATAGTCTAGTCGTGTATAGTATAGTCTAGTGGTGTATAGTATAGTATAGTGGTGTATAGTATAGTCTAGTGGTGTATAGTATAGTCTAGTGGTGTATAGTATAGTATAGTGGTGTATAGTATAGTCTAGTGGTGTATAGTGTAGTATAGTGGTGTATAGTATAGTCTAGTGGTGTATAGTATAGTATAGTGGTGTATAGTATAGTGGTGTATAGTATAGTATAGTGGTGTATAGTCTAGTGGTGTATAGTGTAGTCTAGTGGTGTATAGTGGAGTCTAGTGGTGTATAGTATAGTCTAGTGGTGTATAGTATAGTATAGTGATGTATAGTATAGTGGTGTATAGCATAGTCTAGTGGTGTATAGTATAGTCTAGTGGTGTATAGTATAGTCTAGTGGTGTATAGTATAGTCTAGTGGTGTATAGTATAGTATAGTGGTGTATAGTATAGTCTAGTGTTGTATAGTATAGTGGTGTATAGTATAGTCTAGTGGTGTATAGTATAGTCTAGTGGTGTATAGTATAGTCTAGTGGTGTATAGCATAGTCTAGTGGTGTATAGTATAGTCTAGTGGTGTATAGTATAGTCTAGTGGTGTATAGCATAGTCTAGTGGTGTATAGTATAGTCTAGTGGTGTATAGTATAGTCTAGTGGTGTATAGTATAGTCTAGTGGTGTATAGTATAGTCTAGTGGTGTATAGTATAGTCTAGTGGTGTATAGTATAGTCTAGTGGTGTATAGTATAGTCTAGTGGTGTATAGTATAGTATAGTGGTGTATAGTATAGTGGTGTATAGTATAGTCTAGTGGTGTATAGTATAGTCTAGTGGTGTATAGTATAGTCTAGTGGTGTATAGCATAGTCTAGTGGTGTATAGTATAGTCTAGTGGTGTATAGTATAGTCTAGTGGTGTATAGTATAGTATAGTGGTGTATAGTATAGTATAGTGGTGTATAGTATAGTCTAGTGTTGTATAGTATAGTGGTGTATAGTATAGTCTAGTGGTGTATAGTATAGTCTAGTGGTGTATAGTATAGTCTAGTGGTGTATAGTATAGTATAGTGGTGTATAGTATAGTCTAGTGGTGTATAGTATAGTATAGTGGTGTATAGCATAGTATAATGGTGTATAGTATAGTCTAGTGGTGTATAGTATAGTATAGTGGTGTATAGTATAGTCTAGTGGAGGACAATGGCCGATCATCTGGCCACAGTGGTGGTCTTGCAGTTCTCCATCGCTCATTGACCACCCTGTGGCCTTCCAGTTGTTCGAGCATCTAGTTCTAGGGCATCCAGTTCTGGAATGGAAGGCTATCCAGCCCGTGACAATGTTGCTCTTATTCTTGATTCTTTCTTTATTAATAAAATAATAATAAAATATTTATTAATAAAATAATAATAAAATATTAAACAATAAAATCATCACGATGTTTCGACTGCAACACAAGCAATCATCATCAGGTGTGAAAAAAAACCACAGCAAGAAAATTTGAAAAAAGTGGCGGTTTGTAACGTTAGCACCACGGAGAGCAGTTTGAGAGTTGACTGACAGTTGACAGTTGACTGACAGTTGACAGTTGACTGACAGTTGACAGTTGACTGACAGTTGACAGTTGACTGACAGTTGACTGACAGTTGACTATCAAACCGCTCTCCGTGGTGCTAACGTTAAAAACCGCCACTTTTTTCAAATGTTCTTGCCGTGTTTTTTTTTTTCCTACGTGGTGACTTTACCGAAAGAACCAAGAATATGAATCCCTGCAGTCACGAAAGCTTTAAATCAAAAGTAAATTGGATTGAAATCACGCTGTGGATCTCGGGTGGTGAATTCCTCACCCTGGTATGACGACGAGCTTCATGCACTGAAGACAACTGTCCGCAAGGCGGAACGATCGTGGCAAAAATCTGCTCTTCCTATCCCGCTCGCGAATCTTCAAGTACCAGGTTACAATTTACAGAAAGGCACTCGACCATACGCGGACCATCTATCTCTCTGCTACGCCAGTATCCGTGGTTAAATCATGAGCCTTCGTGCTTGTTAGGTTTTAAAATTGCGTTCGTTATTTAGTTAATTGCTTTTAGCTCTGTGCAGCGCCTTGCAACCTCTGGGTGACACGTGCTTCATAAGTGTAAATTGTTATTAATATAGCTTAGTGTCTTGGTGTATTGTCTAGTATAATGGTGCATAGTCTCGTTTGATGGTGTATGGTCTAGTGTGATGGTGTATGGTCTAGTGTGATGGTGTATAGTCTAGTGTGATGGTGTATAGTCTAGTTTGATGGTGTATAGTCTCGTGTGATGGTGTATTGTCTAGTGTGATGGTGTATGGTCTAGTGTGATGGTGTATAGTCTCGTGTGATGGTGTATTATCTAGTGTGATGGTGTATTGTCTAGTGTGATGGTGTATTGTCTAGTGTGATGGTGTATTGTCTAGTGTGATGGTGTATTGTCTAGTGTGATGGTGTATTGTCTAGTGTGATGGTGTATAGTCTCGTTTGATGGTGTATTGTCTAGTGTGATGGTGTATTGTCTAGTGTGATGGTGTATTGTCTAGTGTGATGGTGTATTGTCTAGTGTGATGGTGTATAGTCTCGTTTGATGGTGTATTGTCTAGTGTGATGGTGTATAGTCTAGTGTGATGGTGTATAGTCTAGTGTGATGGTGTATTGTCTAGTGTGATGGTGTATTGTCTAGTGTGATGGTGTATAGTCTAGTGTGATGGTGTATAGTCTAGTGTGATGGTGTATTGTCTAGTGTGATGGTGTATTGTCTAGTGTGATGGTGCATAGTTTCGTTTGATGGTGTATGGTCTAGTGTGATGGTGTATTGTCTAGTGTGATGGTGTATTGTCTAGTGTGATGGTGTATTGTCTAGTGTGATGGTGTATTGTCTAGTGTGATGGTGTATTGTCTAGTGTGATGGTGTATTGTCTTGTGTGATGGTGTATTGTCTAGTGTGATGGTGTATTGTCTAGTGTGATGGTGTATAGTCTCGTTTGATGGTGTATTGTCTAGTGTGATGGTGTATTGTCTAGTGTGATGGTGTATTGTCTAGTGTGATGGTGTATAGTCTAGTGTGATGGTGTATAGTCTAGTGTGATGGTGTATAGTCTAGTGTGATGGTGTATTGTCTAGTATGATGGTGTATTGTCTAGTGTGATGGTGTATAGTCTAGTGTGATGGTGTATAGTCTAGTGTGATGGTGTATTGTCTAGTGTGATGGTGTATTGTCTAGTGTGATGGTGCATAGTCTCGTTTGATGGTGTATGGTCTAGTGTGATGGTGTATTGTCTAGTGTGATGGTGTATTGTCTAGTGTGATGGTGTATTGTCTAGTGTGATGGTGTATTGTCTAGTGTGATGGTGTATTGTCTAGTGTGATGGTGTATTGTCTAGTGTGATGGTGTATTGTCTTGTGTGATGGTGTATTGTCTAGTGTGATGGTGTATTGTCTAGTGTGATGGTGTATAGTCTCGTTTGATGGTGTATTGTCTAGTGTGATGGTGTATTGTCTAGTGTGATGGTGTATAGTCTAGTGTGATGGTGTATTGTCTAGTGTGATGGTGTATTGTCTAGTGTGATGGTGTATGGTCTAGTGTGATGGTGTATTGTCTAGTGTGATGGTGTATAGTCTAGTGTGATGGTGTATAGTCTAGTGTGATGGTGTATAGTCTAGTGTGATGGTGTATAGTCTAGTGTGATGGTGTATTGTCTAGTGTGATGGTGTATAGTCTCGTGTAGTCTAGTGTGGTCTAGCGAGTGGTGTAGAGCCTCATGGTGGACTATCTGCGAGTACAGGTTGGAGACTGCCAAAGGTGCCCTTGTCCAGCTGGGAGTGGAGTATAGTCTAGCGTAGTATGGTCTAGTGGAGTATAGTCTAGCGTAGTGGAGTATAGTCTAGCGTAGTATGGTCTAGTGGAGTATAGTCTAGCGTAGTGGAGTATAGTCTAGCGCAGTGTGGTCTAGTGGAGTATAGTCTAGCGTAGTGTGGTCTAGTGGAGTATAGTCTAGCGTAGTATGGAGTCTAGCGTAGTGGAGTATAGTCTAGCGTAGTATGGTCTAGTGGAGTATAGTCTAGCGCAGTGTGGTCTAGTGGAGTATAGTCTAGCGTAGTGTGGTCTAGTGGAGTATAGTCTAGTGCAGTGTGGTCTAGTGGAGTATAGTCTAGCGCAGTGTGGTCTAGTGGAGTATAGTCTAGCGTAGTCTAGTCTAGTTCAGTATAGTCTAGCGTAGTGTGGTCTAGTGTAGTGGAGTATAGTGTAGTGTAGTGGTGTATAGTCTAGTGTAGTCTAGTGGTGTGTAGTCTAGCATAGTGGTGTGTAGTCTCGTCTAGTATAGTCTAGTGTAGTGTGGTCTAGTGTAGTGGAGTATAGTGTAGTGTAGTGTGGTCTAGTGTAGTGTGGTCTAGTGTAGTGGAGTATAGTCTAGTTGAGTATAGTCTGGTGTAGTGTGGTCTAGTGTAGTGTGGCCTAGTGTAGTGGAGTATAGTCTGGTGTAGTGTGGTCTAGTGTAGTGGTGTATAGTGTAGTGTAGTGGTGTATAGTCTATTGGAGTCTAGTGTAGTCTAGTGGTGTGTAGTCTAGCATAGTGGTGTGTAGTCTAGTCTAGTGTGGTCTAGTGTAGTGGTGTATAGTCTGGTGTAGTGTGGTCTAGTGTAGTGGAGTATAGTCTGGTGTGGTGTTGTGGTGTAGAGCCTCACGGTGGACTCTATCTGCGAGTAGAGGTTGGAGACGCTGCCGAAGGAGCCCTTGTCCAGCTGATAGCTCCGCGCCTTCAGCAGCGTCTCCTGGGTCAGCGAGGAGCCCACCAACTCCGGTGGAACCGTGAGCGTGGACAGGTGGACACGGCGCTGGGGGAGACGCACCGGGCGACATGGCGAGATACCGGGGGAGACGCAACAACATCAACCGCCGTTCGCCACTAAGTGGCGGCGACGTCACCACGGCGCTTCGAGTCAGGCTGTGTGCACTTTCAGGCCAAGTGAAGTGTCGAACGCCCGCTGGCAGTAGGTCATGGGACAGACCCAGCAGGTGCCACGGGTCGACTGACCGAAACGACTGAGACGACTGGCTGATGCAATACCTGTGCCCCCTACTGTGCCAACTTGCTGTGTTTTAACCACCCGGCGCTCCGCTCGTTGTTGTGAGCATCGCTCCTCTGCCCTCCATTGTTGCTGGAGGGCGACTGCCTCCAACTGCCCAGTAGCGTCCTTCACGAGCCTCCTCCACAGAGGACGATCTTGACACCGCTGGTACCAGTCATCGGCAAGTCCACTCAACTCCACGTCCTCTTGTATCACATCATTACATCTCTTCTCTAGCCTATGCTGTACCCGTTTAGCCCCCTCTATCCAGCCGAACAAAAGCTTTTTAGGTATGCGGTGGTTGGGCATGCGGGCTACATGAACCAGCCAACGCAGCCTTGCCTGCCGGAGCTCACCGATGGGACCTTGCCCAGATCTTTCAAGGATTTGTGAGCTCCTCACACAATGCAGCCTGGTTAAACCCAGGATGGATCGTAGGCAGACCACTCTAAATGCTTCTAACCAGCGAAGATGTTCCATTATGGGGGTCCACGTTTCACAAGCATAGAGAAGGGAGAGCATGACTGGCCGAGAAGACCTGAAGCTTCGTGCGGAGCGACAGACCAGGTAGCTTCCACACAGCGTTACGCAACTGATGAAAAGATATTGCCGCACACTGCCCAGGTATGGGAAACTCCCCACTCTCTCCACAACTGCCCCATCACCAATTGGGAGTTGTGGGGTGGTGTCTGATGGTACAAAATACCCAGGCAGGTGCTTAGTTTTAGTGGGGGTGATGGTAAGGCCCCACCTCTTAGTGGGACGTTCCAGGTTCAGCAGCAACACCTCCAACTAGTGAGCAGTAATCACGAAATCATCAGCATATATAACGTGGTTGACCAATAGGGAGCCATCCTTTGACCGCACTCAGGCATCAATCAGCCTTCCATCGTATCTGTACCAGATGGAGATTCCTCTGGTACAGCCATAAAAGGCTTCTTAAACTACGTGGTCAAAAAATATGTTAAATAATGTGGCAGCCAGAGGACATGCCTGTCGCACCCCAAGGTGAACAAGGAATGACTCTGATTCCCGGCCACGTAGTTTTACCCGGGCCTGCCCACCATGATGAAGGTCCTTAATCATTGTGAGCATAAAGGGACTCCAAAAGCACGAAGCCCAGAGCCCAGGCATATTGATATCATAGGCCTTGACTAGATCAATAAAGCATAGATGTAGATCTTGTTGGAATTCCCTACACTCCTACGGTAGCAAACAGAATATGTGGCATCTGTGCAGGACTGCCCTTTCCTGAAACTGCATTGGGGCTCCGCAAGCCTCTCCTCAGCGTTTCTGGCAAGGCGATGTTGAATAATCCTTTCCAGGATCTTTCCCGGCACACTGAGGAGTGAGATGCCCCTGTAGTTGTTACAGTCTGTGCGGTCCCCCTTCTTAAAGAGAGGGACCACCAGGGCATCCTTCTAATCCTGTGGAACCTGTCCAGTTGTCCAGATTGTTGTTATGATGTCATGTAGGGCAGTTGGCACACAAACGCCACCCTCCCTCAGCAGTTTGCTTGGGAGATCATCTCTGCCCGGTGCCTTTCCTGGTCTCAGACTCTGGATCGCCTTCAGTACTTTCTCAACAGATCGCACCTCAGCCAGCCACTCCCAGGGACACACACGCACACACGGGTTGACACACGGGGAGACACACCGGTAGACACAGACACACACGAGGTGATACACACACAGACACACAGACTCACACACACAGGGAGACACACACATACACACAAACACACAGACTCACACACACGAGGTGATACAACAACAACAACCGCCATTCGCCACTAAGTGGCGGTGACGTCACCACAACGCTTGTGCCAGGCTATGTGCACCCTGAGGCCACGTGAAGTGTCGAACGCCCGCTGGCAGGAGGTCACGGGGCAGACCCAGGTGCCACGGGTCGACTGACTGAGATGACTGGCTGATGCACCACCTGTGCCCCCTACTGTGCCAACCTGCTGTGCTTTAGCCACCCGGCGCTCCGCTCGTTGTTGTGAGCGTTGCTCCTCCGCCCTCCGTTGTTGTTGGAGGGCGACTGCCTCCAACTGCCCAGTAGCATCCTTCACGAGCCTCCTCCACAGAGGCCGATCTTGACACCGCTGGTACCGGTCATCGGCAAGTCCACTCAGCTCCACGTCCTCCTGTACCACATCACTCCATCTCTTCTCTAGCCCGTGCCGCGCCCGCTAAGCCCCCTCAATCCGGCCGAACAAAAGCTGTTTCGCCATGCGGTGGCTGGGCATGCGGGCTACATGACCCAGCCATCGCAGCCTTCCCTGCCGGAGGAGCTCACCGATGGGACCTTGCCCAGATCATTCAAGGATTTGTGAGCTCCTCACACAATCCAGCCTGGTTAAACCCAGGATGGATCGTAGGCAGGCCAGCCTAAATGTTTCTAACCGGCGAAGATGTTCCATTAGGGGGGTCCACGTTTCGCAAGCGTAGAGAAGGGAGGGAATGGCCGTGGCCGAGAAGACCTGAAGCTTATTGCGGAGCGACAGACCAGGTAGCTTCCACACAGCGTTACGCAACCGATGAAAAGATATTGCCGCTCGACTGATTCGGAGTGAGACCTCTGCTGTTAAACTGATACACACACTCACACACAGGGAGATACACACAGACGCACACAGACACACAGACTCATACACGCGAGGTGATACACACAAACACAGACACACACACACAGACACACAGACTCACACACACAGACACACAGACTCACACACAGACTCACACACACACAGACACACAGACTCACACACACACAGACACACACAGACTCACACACGCGGGGTCACACACGGGGTGGGTCCCCAGACTATGGACACAGCAGTGCATAGTCCGTGTGTGTGAGTCTGTGTGTGTGTCACCTCGTGTGTGTGAGTCTGTGTGTATCACCTCGTGTGTGTGAGTCTGTGTGTGTCACCTCGTGTGTGTGTGAGTCTGTGTGTGTATCACCTCGTGTGTGTGAGTCTGTGTGTGTCACCTCGTATGTGTGAGTCTGTGTGTGTGTCTGTATGTGTGTGTGTCTGTGTGTGTCACCTCGTGTGTGTGTCTGTGTGTGTGTCTGTGTGTGTCACCTCGTGTGTGTCACCTCGTGTGTGTGTCTGTGTGTGTCACCTCGTGTGTGTGTCACCTCGTGTGTGTGTGTGTGTCACCTCGTGTGTGTCTGTGTGTCACCTCGTGTGTGTCTGTGTGTGTCACCTCGTGTGTGTGTCTGTGTGTGTGTCACCTCGTGTGTGTGTGTCTGTGTGTGTGTGTCACCCAGTGTGTGTATCTGTGTGTGTGTCACCTCGTGTGTCTTTGTGTCGCCCAGTGTGTGTGTCTGTGTGTGTGTCACCCAGTGTGCGTGTCACCTCGTGTGTGTGTGTGTCTGTGTGTGTGTCACCTCGTGTGTGTGTCTGTGTGTGTGTCACCCAGTGTGTGTATCAGTGTGTGTGTCACCTCGTGTGTCTTTGTGTCACCCAGTGTGTGTGTCTGAGTGTGTGTGTCACCCAGTGTGCGTGTCACCTCGTGTGTGTGTGTCTGTGTGTGTGTCACCCAGTGTGCGTGTCACCTCGTGTGTGTGTGTCTGTGTGTGTGTCACCCAGTGTGTGTATGTGTGGTGTGTCTGTGTGTGGTGCGACAGGGAGCGCCGTCCACCCCCCCGCCGCCTCCGCCAGCACTCCCCAGACACCTGGCGGCGGTAGAGCAGCGCCTCCCAGGCGAACGCGAGCCACGAGAAGGCGACCACCGAGACGAAGATCGCCGCCTCCGCCTCCATCGCTGTGGTCCACGGTGCGAGTGTCCCGGGTCCCCACGGGGGGCGGGGCGTCGGAGGGGGCGGGGCGTCGGAGGGGGCGGGGCCCACGGTGAGCCAATCAGAACTCCCGCATCCGCGGGATGGGCGGGGGGTATGTATGGATTACGTGCTGATCACTGGCCAATCCGATGTGGGTGTTGAATAAATTATGATAATGGTACAGAGGCGAAGGTATTGTGGGAGGGGTGTTGTTTAAGGAATAACGCGAGCCAATCAGAACCCTGTACCCGCGAGATGGGCGGGGGTCACTTCGAAGCACGTGATGATCACTAGCAAATCTGATGTGGCCGTTGAGTAAATTATGATGATGAGACGGGGGCGGGGCGAAGACGTTAGAAGAGGGGTGTGGTTTAAGGGAGATCGCGAGCCAATCAGAACCCCGTACCCGCGGGATGGGTGGAGTTTTGTCCGAATACTCTTTGGTTCTATTGGGTAAAGTCACGTAGGTGAAAATAAAATAACAAAAAATCACGACGTTTCGGCCACAACACAAGCGGCCTTCATCAGGTGAAGGGACGAGACTGTCTGGAGGACAGCGCTGGAGTGGAAGAAGCCACGCTTAGATCACGACCTTTAAGCTGTGTGAGAAGAAAAAGACCAAGCGCCTTGACAAAGGAATTAGCATATAATTTAGCATTGAAATGGCTCATTGAAATAGCTAAGTTAAAGTATACACATCCGCAGAGGTACCCCTTGACAAACGAATTAGCGCTGGAGTGGAAGAAGCCACGCTTAGATCACGACCTTTAAGCTGTGTGAGAAGAGAAATACCAAGCGCCTTGACAAAGGAATTAGCATAGAATTTAGCATTGAAATGGCTCATTGAAATAGCTAAGTTAAAGTATACACATCCGCAGAGGTACCCCTTGACAAAGGAATTAGCATAGAATTTAGCATTGAAATAGCTGAGTGATTAGCTTGTAACTGGTCACAGAAATATCTATGTTAAAGTCAGAGCATACACATTCACAGAGGCACCTAGTACAAATCAAACAGGAGAATTTAGCGAAACAACCACGCTCAGACATCGGACCTTTAAACTGTGTGCGAGCAAACAAGGTGTCCTGACAAAGAAATTGGCGGATTTTAGGAAAGAGGTGGTGTACGTGCCGGTGGACTCGCAGCTTGGCGCGGGAGGGTGGGAAAGGGGGGAGTTTACCTATTGATGGTGTGAAAAGGGAATTTATAAGAGCTGCGAAAGTTTGGGGTACCACTACTTGAAAAATATACTGTACCATTGAAATTAGTTTAATGTTTAGTTCCATTTAGAACATCTTTTCAATGGTTGCTTAATTTGAAACCATCCTCTCGGTTGAAATTGTGTCTGTGTTTGTAGATCTAAATTGCTTCATGAACAAATCTCTGATAAAAGCCCGTGGGTTTGCAAAGAACCTCGGTATCGGAGAAAATTATATCGTGATCACCCACAGCGTTGTAACAGTGATCAGCCACGGCAGAAGAATTCGTTTTGCCGTGTTTCAAATCTGATTTGTGCTCGCGAATTCGGTCAGAGACATGTCGCTTTGTCTCCCCGAAATAGCAATCACCGCAGGTACAACTCAATTTGTAAACCCCGGGGTACTGTAAATCAGGAATGACATCCTTCACGGATGGAATCAGATCACGAATTTTGTGTACTGTATTGAACCGGACCTGGATCTTGTGTTTGTTTAGAATTTTGGAAATCTTTTTAGTAACGCCTGCTATATATGGACGTGTGATGGTTTTGACCGGAGTATCAAGTGGTTGTTTCTGTATGGAGGGAGAGACAGCTTGGCGGATGGTACGGTCAGAGTAACCATTCCTTTTGAGGGCCAGGTGTACATGTTTTAATTCACTGGTCAGGTGGTGTTGGTCCGAAATGCAATGAGCCCTATGGTATAAAGTATTGATGAGAGAATTATTTTGGGCTGGGTGGTGGTGGGAATCAGGTTTCAAGTAGGAATCTGTGAGTGGGTTTCCTGTAGACAGAATGCCCCAATGAGCCATCAGGTCTCCTCTCAAACAGAATCACGAACATGGATCGTGAAAACTCCATCGATTCCAGTTTAATCGAGCATTGGATCTTTAAAAACACGTCGATTCCCGTTCCTTAATTCCTTATATGGGCAAAGCCACGCCCCATTACTCCATGTATGGGCCTAATTCATTAACATAATTTATCATTCATCCCATTATGTCATTCATTCTGCCACGGATTCCTTCCTCATCAACGTAGCAGGATGTAGCCGGCTTTGCCCCGGGGGGGGAAATATATTTAAAAACTTGTCTTCTCTTAAAACACACACGCACGCAAAGATACGCAAAGATACGCAAATACAAAACAAGTGTTTGCGTGTGAATATTATGGTTTTTAGGAGAATATATGAACTCTAATACTAAACACGCTATGCAACTGTGTGGGCAGGGTGGGTGAGGCTCGGCAAGCACCCGACAGGCGTGGGGGTCAAGCAGCGCGCCGTGGGAGGGGAGCAACAGCTCCCAGCCAGAGCAAGAGGCTCTCCAAATGAAACACAAAATAGGGCCTCTTAAAAAAAGAATAATCAAACAAATAAAACTGAATAATAATTCACTCGAAGCTTTCGTGACTGCCAGGACTCTCCGACTGATGCCTCTGTTTGTTGTGGAGTAACTCATGCAGCCAGCTACGGCTCTAGAATGTGGTGTTACATATTGTTTATGTAGTTTATTGTCAAAATTCGGTCACAGTCCCTGTGATCACTGTTACGTTGCAATTATGGCTTAATTTTTTGGTGATTTCGAAAAGTTTTTTTTGGTTTGGACGTGTTTGTTTTGTTGTGGTACGGAGTTAGACTGACGGCCTTAATCTAAAGTTTTCTTGTGGTCGTTGTTGTTGTTTGACTTGCATCCCACTGGGAGTTTTTTGCACACAGCGTTGGTGTACGGTGCTTTTTTCAGGAATATTTTTGCTGGTTTGTTTTCCATGGATTTTCTGTTTGCACAGTCAACACACGTGGTCACTTTAAGATGTTTTTCTTGTTCGTGTTTTTGTTTTTTTGTTTGTTGTGGTTGCACCCGATTCAAGAGCCGAATGGCTCACAGGGCTATACCAAAATAAACTGAACTGAAACCAACTCTGGTTCTTTCGGTAAAGTCACGTGGGAACGTTTGAATAATAATTGCGGAGAAGAGAACTTAAAATATTGGGGGTTTGGGGGGGAGAATAAGGTGGGAGATGAACGGTTGGAAAGGGGAGGGAGCGGATGTCTGCTGCTGGCAGATTTCGCGACACTACCACCTGAAGCTGGCACCCACCCCCTTATCAAAGAGCCTCTTTGTAAACAATGTTCCTGGTTTGATTTAAAGCTTTCGTGACTGCAGTGATTTATATTCTTGGTTCTTTCGGTAAAGTCACGTTGAAGGGAAACAATAAAATAATAAAATATATATAAAACAAAATTCTCACGACGTTTCGACTGCAACACAAGCAGTCGTCACACCTGATGATGATTGCTTGTTTTGCAGTCGAAACGTCGTGAGAATTTTGTTTTATATATATTTTATTATTTTATTGTTTCCATTCAACGTGACTTTACCGAAAGAACCAAGAATATAATGTTCCTGGCCTTGCCTGCTGGTGCAAAGTAATGTAAATATATATTCTTGGTTCTTTCGGTAAAGTCACCACCACGTAGAAGGGAAACAATAAAATAATAAAAATATATAAAACAATAAAATTCTCACGACGTTTCGACTGCAACACAAAGCAATCATCAGGTTTTTAAAAATTGTTCTTGCTGTGGTTTTCACACCCTGACGATGATTGCTTGTGTTGTAGTCGAAATGTCGTGAGAATTGTATTGTTTTATATTTTTATTATTTTATTGTTTCCCTTCTACGTGCTGGTGACTTTACCGAAAGAACCAAGAATATGAATCCCTGCAAGTCACGAAAACTTTAATTCCAAATTTAATGTTAATGTTTTTTTTATTGCCTACACGAGAGCATCCAACATAAAGCTGCACATGAGAACGGCGCGGAGCTGCGAAATTCAGTCCCACCACTTTTAAAGATTGTCCTTGCACCTTGTTAATGGACATCGCGAAGCTGAGGTGGACGGGGAATTGAAGTCTTTTAAATTCAAAGACGGTGTCATTTGGGATTATAGGTATGCGATGGAGAAAGACGTCTTCACCATGAGATTTGCCTGTAATGATTGTAGCTTTGATAACATTTGAATGTAATTCTTTCACAATTAACCTTGTGCCGGTGCACAGTCTAGGCGGGTCCAAGTTTCTCAATGGCAAGACGGGTGCCCCGATTTTTAGTAGCAAGTTGTGTGGTGGAACACCAGGGAACTGCAGATAATTGAAGAATTCAACTGGATAGTGAACAATTCGATCATGGTGATAAAGAGATCGGAACCTGCCATATTACCTGATATAGGTCATTGCATCTTGGACCACGTGTGAAGGATAAGCGGAAAATGAATAATCTCCTGACATTGAGCGTTTGCATCTTGAGTCAGCATTGATAACGTCCCTGAGATGAGCAGACTGTTCTACACGCAGGCGTTTTTTTTATCAAGTTGAATGTAAAGAAGGCGCTCACTCTCAATTTTGGCAGACTCATCCACAACATACTGGCGCACCTAAATGTGTGGTTTCCTGCTTCTCTGTCCATGATCATGAAGGAATAGAAGTCCTTATAGGAGACGGTTTTGTGAGGATGATTTTGGCCCGTTGCTTTGACCATTTTAGGAATCTGGAAGTGGTACCCATCTTGTCCCTTGCCACAGTATCATGGGGTATTGTAGGGCATCATATCCTCTGTTTGTCTCAGGAATTCGTTTGGTGTTGTCTTGGTATCGAAGCACAATGTCTCTCTTACCATGTTCCTCGCCCACCATAAGAACAGCAACCTCACCACAAGTTGGGGCATTGGACCTCCGTGCGTGCTCCCCGCTTGGGACCTTGGCTGCACGGATTACAACCTGGTAATCATTGGAGGTGACTTGCTGTGCTGCATGTTTGCAACTTGCAATCAATCAATTGTGTTGGTGGAAC